TGACAAGTAGTCAAACCATATTTTCAACACATAGAGAAGAAACGCCCCCAGACTATTGCTTTACTATTCTTGACTATTCCTCCTGCAGAGGGGGGACGTGCGCGACTCAAGTTTTTCCTCCTCGGATATTTCTCCTGCAGAGGGGGACGTGCCCGACTTCAGTTGTTCCTCCCTCGATCGAGCACACCTCATGAGACGCACAGAGTCGTACTAATACGATACGTCCTCCTTGGAGGCGAGCGTCCGACCCGACCGTACAGAAGACCCATCTTGTACCATTGGCGTTTCCCGAACGGTGTGGCAAGACTATTCCGATTTCTCTCGGTGCGCGCGCGGCCCCTGGGGGGGGCGACGCACATGTTGTAGAAATGTGTTGGGGGAGCGCCGACCTCAGGACCCCCCGCCGCCCCCGGACCCCCCCCCCGGGACCGCTCCAGGCCCCCCCCCAGAGGAGAAGACAGAGGACCAGATGGATCGAGGAGAAGGGAGGCCACACAGCCGCGAAGATCACCGAATCTGGAGCCCCCCGGATCGGCGGCACTGGCCAGAGGCCATTACAATATGATAAGCATGTTGGGCTTAGCTGCCCCGATACGCAACACGCAACACGTACCGTACCGATACGGAACTCAACACGTAGGCTGAAAACGTAGCTCCGACGCGAGACATTCGCCAGAACGTGGTCCAGTACCTGGAGCCAACACGCAACGGTATTGACACGGACGTCTTGCACACGGGACGCGTTTTGCGATTCAACGCGCACGCATCGAGGCAACTAAGATTAAGTCGGGCCTGTCCCCCTACAGGGGGATTTTCGACGGGAAATCAAAAAATACCCCAAACATAATGGACAAATCATCCAAACATAGTCTGGGGACTATTTTGGGGGGTATTTTTGTGACCTTCTTGGGGCATGTTTGGGATATTTTTTGTTTTTCGTCGAACATCCCCCTGCAGGGGGACACGCCCGACATAAAACCGAGATGTCGGCACCTCGGGCCGCCCTCGAAAGCGCCGAGAGCCCGCCAACGCCCCGAGCGCGGCCAGGGCGGCCCCGTGCCCGCCCGCCCCCCCGCCGCGGCCGCCCCCCCCCGCGGGCTCGGCGGCCGCGGCCGCCATCGGCGGCTGCGCCCTCGGCGGCGGCGGGCCCCCGGCCTCGGGAGGGCCTCCCCTGGGGCCGGGAGGGCTGCGCTCGGGCCGGGCACGGCCCCCTGCAGGCGGACTTTGGGAGGAGGAGGGGGAGGAGGAGGAGGAGGAGGAGGAGGAGGAGGAGGAGGAGGAGGAGGAGGAGGAGCTACGCTCAGGTCGGGCACGGCCCCCTGCAGGCGGATTTTGGAGGAGGAGGAGGAGGAAAACGAGGAGGGAGGGCCACGCTTAGGTCGGGCACGTCCCCCTACAGGCGGATTTTGAAGGAGGAAGAGGAGGAGAACGAGGAGGGAGGGCTACGCTCAGGTCGGGCACGTCCCCCTACAGGCAGATTTGAACGAAGAAGTGGAACTATAGTTCGGACTTCCTAGAAAGGTCAACAAAAACAGTCGAAACATCGTCCCCATGCGATTTTTGTTTATTATTTTTGTACGTTCCTCCTGTAGGGCGACATGCCCGACTTCAGGCTACGCTGCGCCGCCAGGCTCCGCCAGCGTGCCTGCGCGGCACGGAGGCACGCACGCAGACGCCGCGCCTAGACGGCGCGTCGGCAAAGGAAGCACCTGGGTCAGGTCGGGCATGTCTTCCCACAGGCGGATGTCGGACGACACATGCAAAACAAATCATGAAAACAGAACAAAAAATCGAACACCATCCCCAGCCTATTCTTTTACTACTCTAGAATGTTCCCCCCTGTAGGGGCACACGCCCGACTGGAAGCTTGGAACCAGGGCTACGCATGCAAAAACAAATGCGCCGATGGAGTGCCCTCGCTTCTCTCGCAGCCCTCAATCCTAAGCCCTCCGGATGGAACGCTGAGGGACCTGCCCCCCAAAATGGTTCAAACTTCCCGTGGTTCCCAGCGTGCGTCCCGCGGCTCCTCGGCGCATCTCGCAGGACCTTTTCGGAGGCAAGATGGCGACCTACCAGACACCCCCAACCCGATCCGACAACCTGAATTTCGGGTTGGGGGGGGGTACGGGGGTTCCCTATGGGATTTGTGTTCAGTGTCCCCGACCCCCCCCCCCCCACTGGAAATGGAGGGCAACTTGAGTCCTTCGGGTTGGGGTACGGCAGGTTCGTGTCGTGCCGACCCCAGCGTTGGTTTCTGTCACCTCGGGGATCGTTCAACCTTGAACGATCGGCCCTTTCCGAGACGTGCGATCCTTCAACATCGACCCATTCTGGGTCGCCGGCGGCGTTCAACCTTGAACGCCCACGCTGGGGTCGCCGCCGGTCGACACGACACGAACCTACCGTAGGGTGGTCTGGTGGGTGCTCACAAGAGCTCCCCGAGAGCTCACGAGAGCCCTCCGAAGACACACCCGGACGCCTCGGCAGGGCCTCGGACCCACGGCCTCGAGACGGTGGCGAGGCAGGCCCGCAGGCCCCCGTCTAGGACGTGTCCACAATGCTCTGCTGCCGGGTCGTGCCCTGGAGACCTCTTGAATCGATCCGGCTCGAGAAAAGGAGCCCCAGGGAGTTGGGGTCTCGACGGCTCTGGCGTTCTCGTGCTCGAAGTGCGTGCGGTTGTTCTGCACCGTCGGACCTCAAGAGCCCCCCCCCTCTTTCGCGGAGGAAGAGGAGGAGGAGGAGGAGGAGGAGGAGGAGGAGGAGGAGGAGGAGGAAAAGGGAGGAGGAGGAGGAGGAGGAGGATAATGAGAAGGAAAAGGAGGATGATGATGATGATGAGGAGGAGGAGGAGGAGAAGGACGATAATGAGGAGGAGGAGGAGAAGAAGGAGGAGGAGGAGGAAGGAGGAGGAGGGGGAGGAGGGGGAGGAGGGAGGAGGAGTACCTGGTTACCTGTTTCCCTGCATGCCGTGGCTACCTGCTGCATCGGCGGGGCACGTGCAACACAATCACAGGTCAGGGACACTGCCCCCACACTTGGGGGGCAGCCCTCTCGACAATCTGCCGAGCACTTCCCTCCCAGCTTTGGTGGGGGGGCTGCACTCGCTTCGCAACCTTTGCGGGAAATCAGCGCAATGCCTACCGCACACCCGACAATACAAGACCCCGCGGATGGAGGCGAGGGTGTGCGTCGCATGGCACTGTTCCGCCACGTGATGAGCCCCCCCCCCCCCGCCCAGTCCGCCCTCCAACGCCCCCAGATCATCAGGCGGGAGCTCCTCACGAAACCTCGGGTCCTGAACCTCACGAGGGGGGAGGGCTTGCATTCGCTGGGCAATCTCTGACCTTGGCTTGCAGGGGCCTGGCCAGAGCTCACAGAGCGAATTCTGTTTCCTGAACTTCAAATGGCAATTGCGGCACGCTAGCACTCAAGGCCGCTCTGTGCAGAAATGTCTCAACGAAAACCGACGAGTTTAAATGGGAACTTCGGGCGCCTGGGGGGCTCTCGTAACAGTGTCGCGTTCGCCAGTTAATGAAACCTCCCTCTGGACAGCGAGGGGGCGGCTGAGAACCTTAAGCGCTCGATCGTCCGTCGTCTCAGCGGCATGGACATGTTCAACTGACACCTGGGCCAGACCAGCGGCCTTAATCGCAGAGAAGCCAATACTCTTGTTAAGATGAAACTCGGCACGGGTGAGGCGCATGCTGACTTCTCGGGCAAAAGAAAGGTGGCCTTTGGTCCATCGAACCTCCACAGATCCGCTGCGGGACCCCAGGGTCTCGCGATTGGATCTCCAGAGGTCCAACATCGAAGACCCCCACCTTTGCCGAAGGATCCCTTGACCCCGATGCCGACTCTGAGCAAACTCCATCCTTTGCTTGTGATCAAAGTTCCCCCATACATAATGGAAAGCAACGGGTTGCTCATAGCGAAGCCTAAGCCGGGGTCATCCCTCGCAGGACTCACTAAACCGAGGACCATGGTCGCGCAGGCACCTGGGGCCCACCATTCAGAGCACCTGGCCGCTTGGGCTCTGATTTGCCCGAATGTGCCCCATGGTGGCCCAGAGACCCAGCGACTCCACGACCCGACAGCAAGGGCCCCTGGCTTGTACAATTCCCTTGCAATTCCGACGTTTTTGCAGAAAGGACACCTTCTTAGCTTTCTTGGCGGCCGTCGCTCGCCTTTGCATCATCTCCGAAGTGCGTCCACGTTTGCCTGCCGAGGTCATGCCGCCCAGATCTCTGGTTGCCTCGTGCATGTTGATGGGCAACCCCGTAGACTGAGCCATGCCTGCAAGCTAACGGCCCAGGCCAGCACGACTACAAACAAGCGCCGGCTTAGCAAAGATAGCGCAAAAAAGGACTGGAAAGCTGGTGCGTTGAATGCATGGTAGATGGCACCAGCTTCGCGAGGATCTCTCTCGATGTGCCTCGCCGGGACTGGGTGGCGTCATCCACGCGCGCTGCGACGCGAACGGGGCAGAAAAGAGCATGATCATTGTCAGTGATATCGCGCGCTCATATCTCAACCCAAGCCATAGCCTGCAGACGCCCCACAATCATACCCTTACCACTCTCCACGATGTCAGATACGTACTCTCCCACTTCCACAACACGAAGAGACACATGAATAAGCATGCCCAAGTAAAGCAGGTGGAGAGGACAGTCTATCTGAACGGCATACTCAATGACCGGACAGCTCGCCCCTTGGCCCCCCGCCAGCCCCAAGCCAAGGGGCGAGCATATATACGGGCGCAGCACCGCGCTGGATGCGTAGCCGTCGGCTGGGCCAACCAAGCGAATGACGCATCGCGTGGCGGCTGGATGCCCGCGCCGAGCACAGCTCTTCTCGGCTCCTCCCTCCTCCTCCTCCTCCTCCTCCTCCTCTTCCTCCTCCTCCTCCTCCTCTTCCTCCTCCTCCTCCTCCTCCTCCTCCTCCCTTCTGCTGCCTCCTCATCCCGTCCGCGTCCTCCGCCTTCTTCCTCCTCGTCGTCCTCTCGGCTTTTTGCGTACAGGCATGATGCCCAAGATGTGGCAGGAAGTGCGATGCGTTCCCTAGTGGAAAAGCGAGCTTGAGCGCGCGTGCGGCTGCGGGCAGGCTGCGGCTGCGCGCGTGCCCTCTTGCGCAACTGGCCCAGAAATATCATCACCGTCCCTGGCGGAAAATCGCCACTGCCACCCGCGATATCCTCACCCGCTGGCTTAAGACTGCCACCGAAATATCCTCACCCGCTGGCTTAAAACTGCCACCCGAAAATTCACCCGCTGGCTTAAAACTGCCACCCAAATATCCTCACCCGCTGGCTTAAAACTGCCACCCGAGATATCCTCACCCGCTGGCTTAAGACTGCCACCGAATATCCTCACCCGCTGGCTTAAAACTGCCACCGAAATATCCTCACCCGCTGACTTAAAACTGCCACCGAAATATCCTCACCCGCTGGCTTAAAACTGCCACCGAAATATCCTCACCCGCTGGCTTAAGACTGTCACCGAAATATCCTCACCCGCTGGCTTAAAACTGCCACCGAAATATCCTCACCCGCTGGCTTAAAACTGCCACCCAAATGTTCTCACCCGCTGGCTTAAAACTGCCACCCGAGATATCCTCACCCGCTGGCTTAAGACTGCCACCGAAATATCCTCACCCGCTGGCTTACGACTGCCACCGAAATATCCTGACCCGCTGGCTTAAAACTGCCACCCAAATATTCTCACCCGCTGGCTTAAAACTGCCACCCAAATATCCTCACCCGCTGGCTTAAGACTGCCACCGAAATATCCTCACCCGCTGGCTTAAGACTGCCACCGAAATATCCTCACCCGCTGGCTTAAAACTGCCACCCAAATATTCACCCGCTGGCTTAAAACTGCCACCCAAATATTCTCACCCGCTGGCTTACAACTGCCACCCGAGATATCCTCACCCGTTGGCTTAAAACTGCCACCCGAAATATCCTCACCCGCTGGCCTAAAACTGCCACCCGAGATATCCTCACCCGCTGGCTTAAACCTGCCACCCGAAATATCATCACCCGCTGGCTTAAAACTGCCACCGAAATATCCTCACCCGAGATATCCTCACCCGCTGGCTCAGAACCGCCACCGAAATATGCTCACCCGCTGGCGCCTGAATACCCGGGCTTAAAACTTAAAACTGCCACCGAAATATCCTCACCCGCTGGCTTAAAACTGCCACCCTCCTCACCCGCTGGCTTAAAACTGCTGGCTTCCTCACCCGCTGGCCACCGAATCCTCACCCGCTGGCCTGCCACCCGAAATATCCTCACCCGAGATACCGCTGGCTTAAAACTGATATCCTCACCCGCTTAAAACTGCCACCCGAGATATCCTCACCCGGTGGCTTAAAACTGCCACCCGAGATATCCTCACCCGCTGGCTTAAAACTGCCACCCGAAATATCCTCACCCGCTGGCTTAAAACTGCCACCCGAGATATCCGCACCCGCTGGCTTAAAACTGCCACCCGAAATATCCTCACCCGCTGGCTTAAAACTGCCACCCGAGATATCCTCACCCGCTGGCTTAAAACTGCCACCCGAAATATCCTCACCAGCTGGCTTAAAACTGCCACCCGAAATATCCTCACCCGCGGAAATAAAACTGCCATCTAACGGCCTGGTGGTTCAGTTCAGTCTGTCAGTGTCTACCTCGCGAGAATCAAATTACGGGCTGCGCCCGTAAATCAGCTTGTGAGGGAAGACAATATCAATATCAGCGCGAGCGATCTCGTGACCAAGCTCTCGTAACAGGACTGCCTGGCGGGCGCTCGAGCCTTGCGCTCTACTGTCCCAAAAACTAGACCCTTCAGCAATCCATATATCAAGGTACTGGTTGCGCTCTTTGCAATACATGCGATAGAGGGCAGGACACTTACAAATCGGTCCATCACCAGCAACACGGTTAGGCAGGGGGGCGGTCACACTCAGTGGACCCTGGGAAGGCCATTTCATGCGCAGCTCGCACTGGTAGAGGATGTAAGTGAACCCTGCAGCAGCCTGGAAAGGGAGGTCAAACATCTGGCGAGGGGACCAGCCGCCCATCCCCTCGGCAGCGCTCGCAGAAAACAAAAAAAACCTAGCTCCTCGCCGGATGTCGAAGACAGTCAGAGGCCCCAACCCCTCAGCGCGCGCGAGGGCTCTCGGGCGGAGAGCGCCCAGGAGACCAGAAACAGCAGCGCGAGAGTCAGGGGTCTTCCAGCCGCGTTCCCAAAACCATGGGCGGTGATTCCTCATATCGACAGGAAGTTGCAGCACTCCTGCAGTGGAAACCAAAACAGAGGGTGAATTTACCAGGTCGCGTTTCATCCAGGAACGAAAACGTTTACGCCCACCGGGAAGGGCCTTGGGCAACCAAAGCTTTACACCACCCCTGGACCTCTTGCGCGCCGCTGCTTTAGGCCATCCCTGGGCCCGATATCTCGCCGAGCGCAACATAGTCGAGCTCGGTGGGGGGCTGTCCTCCTTCACCTCCGAGCGGACCGAAGACGGCGTGCCACCAAGCAGGCGGGCGAGGAGCAGCAGCTCGCAGATGAACTGATATCCTATGCAAAAGGACAACGAGCCGGGCGCCGATGCCGGCAGCCATCCGCGGAGACCTGCTGGCGCAAGACAGTCGGTACTCGGACCGCTTGCGTGACGCCTGGGCCCAGAAAGCCAAGTCAGATTCAGAGAAGTTTGGCCCTCGGGGCCCCATCCGAACAGTCGTGGTTTTGCGAGAGGCAACAAACATTCCGCGGTGCGTCGTGCTGGGGAACTGATCGCGTGCAACCGCACGAGACTCAAACATGGCCTCGGTCACTCTAGACCAGATCAGATACAAACCCGTAAGTGAGGAAACCGAAAACCTTGCACGTGGGGAACCATCGCATCATGCTAGTGCCGAGGCACGTCGCATTGGCCTCGGTCCTCCACCATAGCAAACAAGCGTTCCCGCGGAAGGTCGGGGCCGCAGCAGCGAGGGTACTTCGGTTGTCGAAGCCGCTGCCGCACCACCCGGTGCAACGCCTGGTGCCTAAAGGCGAGGGCCAAGTACAGGTGGGTCTTGAAAGGGCTTGGGAAATACGGCTTCAGGGCAACATGCTCTCCAATGCCCCGAGACGCCAGAACATAATCAATAGGAGAGCCTCTTCCTTGAGCCCAAGTAACGTCAACTCCTTCAGGTGTAACAATACGATATGAGGCAAGTTGGGGGAACCCAGTAAGGCCCATGTCAGGGGCAGCGATGTTGAAGCCCCCCGGGGAGCATCCAGGAAATGACAAGGGCCCCCATGAAAACCACAACAGACCGCGCCCGTTCGACGTTGGCCCCTGGGATGCCCAAACCAGAAATCAAACGAATGACTCCTGCAGCAAAGACACAAGTCTGAGTCCTAAGCTCGAGAAACATCCAATTGGGGCCCACGCCCAAATCCTCAAGACCAGACCTGGCCAAGCAACGCCTAAAACAGAGGCCCTTGGAGACGCGGCATCCTCAACCTCCACGCGTGCCCCCTCAAGGGGCCGGCAACGCAGGAACTAACTGGGGCCTCGATCCAACATGGGAAGCTTTACGTCGGGCGCGGGAAAGCTCGCAGATCCTGAGATGATGCTCTGCACACAACAAAACCATCACAGTGTGGCCAAATAGTTTGCTGGAAACCCAAACCCATTTGATTCCAACTTGTTATATTGCACAGCAAAAAGGAAATCTCACCTTTCTCACGTTGGCCGATCTTCCTGCCGCCCCTCCTGCTGGCCACCCCTTGCACCACGAGTCCGACTGCTGGCGCGGAGAGCAGGGGGAACGACATCAGCATCGTTAGCGGCCGCCTCAACGGCCTCGAGAGGGGCAGTTGGCGAGCTTGATGGGGAACTGCCGCTGGAGCACCGTAGACTGGACGCAACTGGGCCAACACGCGCTCGACGGAGCTCTGGGCCGCGTCGCGTGCAGCGCGGAACCTAGTCAGAGCTTTAACATTGACACTCTTCTGCATGAGGCGCTCCATGGCGGCGAGCTCCTCTGGGGAAAGACCATGATCAAGACCCCGATTCTTGAGAACGTCCAGCTCCAACCGATACTTGGCTTCGTCCTGCGCGTCGGACAGAACAGACTCGGCATCATAGGCTTGCAACTGCTGGTTGCATATCGGGATCTGGGCCCAATACTCGAAGCGCTGGCCCTGCTCGTTGCATCACTGACGTAGATCAACCCCCGACATGTTGGCAAGGGTGGGCGGGATCGGCGGGATGGGTCCAGGATCCCCCGCCGCAGGCGCCACTGGCACAGCATAAACCTGCATGGGTGCCGCTGCAAGCGCCTGGTGCCTTCCAACTGCCGCCCGAAAGACGCGTGGACCAGGCACCGCGACAGGCGCCTGCGCGGCAGAAAGGGGAACAGGCCGCCGCAGCCTCCCTCTGCGCACGTTCTTGGGCGAGCCTCGCGTGTTCAGCCCGCCCGTCATGCATGAGGTTGTCCTTGTTTGCCCTGGGGTCGAAATTGCCCATGGCTTCGTAAGGTGCACGGTGAGCGGCCGCGGCAGCCTCCAGCTCCGCGACCGCATGGTTATGTCCCTCGACTGCTTGAGCCAGAGCATCACGGTGCCTGGCCACAGCAGCGAGACGAATCTCCACTTCGTACTGGGCGATCCTCTCAGCCTTCGAATCCTGCTCCACCGCCTGCGCCAACGAGGTCCGCTGGAGCTCGACACGCTTGCCAAATCCACTATCATTGGCCAACGGCGGCGTGTCAGAAACATCACGGGGTAGAACTTGCGCGCATGCAACACGGTAGTGCTCGGCTTGGCCAGGGAACAGGCCCAGCAGCCTGTCGAACTCGGCACCCAAATCCTGCTGGGCCCGGAGGGCGCGCTCCACATGTCGGTAACGCCCTGCGCCCCAGTACTTTCCACCACACTTGGAGCACCGCACGTGCCCATACTTGTCACATTCCCGATGTCCACATGCCGAACATACTGAGGACCCGCCAGAGTAGGCACCACCTCGTGCACGCTGCTTCCTCTGATGCCAGGGCGCACGCCAGCGCCAGGCCATGACTGGGTCAGGAACGAGAGGAGAAGAAAGAAACCCCCACGGGAGCGAACACGGATACTCTTGCCACAACGCAGAGCCTTGGCTACGGTGCAGCTAAAGGTAATCGCTGGTTCTCGGGCCTCTATAACCCTTCACAACGTTAATCTTTGAGCCAAAATGGCTATGGTGGGGGAGGAGGGGGGGAGGAGGAGGAGGAGGAGGAGGAGAGGAGGAGGAGGAGGAGGAGGAGGAGGAGGAGGAGGAGGAGGGGGAGGAGGAGGACGAGGAGGAGAGGAGGAGGAGGAGGAGGATTGGGGGGAGGAGGAAGGAGGAGGAGGAGGAGGAGGAGGAGAAGCAGGAGGAGGGGAGGAGGGGAAGGAGTGAGGAGGAGAGAGGAGGAGGAGGAGGAGGAGGAGGAGGAGGAGGAGGAGGAGAGGAGAGAAGGAGAAGGAGGAAGAGGAGGAGAGAGGAGGAGGAGGAGGAGGAGGAGGAGGAGGAGGAGGGGGAGGGGATGGAGGAGGAGGAGGAGGAGGAGGAGGAGGAGAGGAGGAGGAGGAGGAGGAGGAGGAGGGGGAAGAGGAGGAGGAGGAGGAGGAGGAGGAGAAGGAGGAGAAGGAGGAGGAGGAGGAGACCAGGCCTCCCCGACCAGCGGACCAACTGCATATACCTCGACGGGCTTGTTGTTGCTGCTGCTGCTGCTGCTGCGGTCTCCAGCTGCCCGCGGGGGCCGGCTGCGTCAGGCTCGTGTCGTTCCGACCTCAGGCTCGGCGCTTCGAAACGGTCGATCGTTCAACCTTGAACGATCGGCCGTTTCGAAGCGTCCAAATCGTTCCACATCGAACGATGTTGGGTCGCCCGCGGCGTTCAAAAAAGTGCGCGGGGTCGCCGCCGGTCGACACGACAGGTAACCTGCCGTGTGAGGCTCCCAGGCCGTCGACCAAGAACAACTCGGAAGGACGAGCTGGCCCCCGGGAGGAGGTCGAAAATCTCCGGGGGGGCCACGTTCCCAACCATGCTGTGGTGTTGGGTCCTTTGTATGAAAAGACAACGCCCCGCATCTCCCACCTCCTCCTCTCCCTCCTCCCTCCCCCCTCCTCCCATCCGTGCCTCGGACCTCCGCGTGTCTCCGTTTCGGCACACCCCTCTCTCGTTTCGTGGTCCCACAAGGAGCTCCACCGAATGCCACAGTGGCAATGGCCACATGCGTCCCCCCCATCAGTTTCAGCACACTCATCACACGTTTCGTGCCACATATGGAGCTCCACCGAAGGTCCCACCCCACGCATTTCGGGACACCACTCACGCGGATGGTCATGGGGAGCTCTACCACGCCCCCCACGCCCATTTTGGCACACCCCTCACGCGTTTGGTGGCCCTAGTGGGAGCCCCACCGAAGGCCCCAATGGCGATGTTCGCATGCGCCCCCCGCGCACGTTTCGGCACACCCCACATGCGTCACCAGCACTCATGTCGGCACTTCCCTCACACGTGTCGTGGCCTCGTCGGGAGCTCCACCGACGGCCCCAGTGGCAGTTCTTGCGCGCGTCCCCCGCGCCCATTTCGGCACATCCCTCAGAAGGCCCTAATGGCAGTGCTCGCATGCGTCCCCCGCGCCCATTTCGGCACACCCAGAGGGAGCTCCACCGAAGTCCCCAGTGGTAATGCCCGCATGCGTCCCCCGCACCCATTTCGGCACACCCATCACACGTCTCGCGGCACCATATGGAGCTCCCCCGAAGGCCCAGTGGCAGTGCTCGCATGCGCCCCGCCCGCCTATTCAGGAACACCTCTCAAGCGCTTCGTGGCCCCAGAGGGAGCTCCACTGAAAGCCCCAGTGGCGGTGCTCGCATGCCACCCCCCCGCAAATTTAGGCACTCTCCGTACACGTTTCGTGGCCCCATAGGGAGCTCCATCGAGGGCCCCAGTGGCAGGGCTCGCATGCGTCCCCCCACAAAGTCCGGCACACCGCTCACACGTTTCGTGGTCCCATAGGGAACTCCACCGAAGGCCCCAGCGGCGATGCTCGTCATCCAGGCCCACCCCCCACGCGTTCCGTGGCCCCATAGGGAGCTCCACCGAAGACGATGCCCACAAGTGCGTTACCCACAACTGTATATGTTTTGGTCCGTCGTCAAGCGAGCTTTCAGTGCGCGGCCCTAGCGCTTCCCTGCCCTGCGGCAGGACTTCGTCGGGATCCATTCTTGGTGAACCCGGCCCTGTAACGGGCACCAGGGGCCGAAATCTTGGAAAAAACGAATGAGTTCAACAAATCCGATTTCATGTTTTTGCCCGCAAAGCTACAGCTGTCAAACAGTGGGCATTGAGCCTAGCAGGGCACGGCGACAGCGAGCCCGTAAGTCTGCAGCGCGGGGGGGCCCGCGCGGGCAACAAGACGCGGGGGGTTTTGTTGCACGGACGGAGGGGCACAGAAAGCCCGAAAACCCAAGTGCCAGGCGGCCCCAAAAGGGAGATGCCTGGACAGAGACCTGGTGGACTCCAGCAAGTTCACTTGCATGGGATGGGGGGGAAAAGGGGGGGGGGATTGCGAGGCCGAAAGGAAATCTGAACTTCACGCACGGCTGGACTCACTGACGCGCCCCGTCTGCCCAGCAGCGGGCCGAGGGGTGGCTTGGGGGAGATGGCCGTGCAAGTGAACCTGCCCGAGTCTGGAGAACCACTGCCTCACATCGGATACAATGGCTGCGGAAAGATCACGGCGTCGGGGGTCGGGGGGCGATAGCGCGCAAAGCTCGGGGCAGTCTGTGGGGCGGCCGGTACCAACGGGGTCTCGCGGATGCAGGGGTGCGGCTGCAGGGATGTCGAGCGGCAGCGCTGAACAACCCTACCCCTGCAAGACAGACTTCTGACAAAGCGGCTGGGGTTCAAGAGTCGAGGCATGTTGGCAGCCAGACAAGCCGCAGCGCGGTGTCCGATACCCCAGTGTCGATTGGGCCCGCAGGGGTAGGGTTCGCAAGTGGTCGCAGAAGCCCCGTAGGTCAGGCGGACGCGGTCAGCTCGGACGCCCTGGTATCCTTCAGGGCAAACCAGACCGGTAGCAATGCCACGCTGGTCGGGCGACTCCATCAGCGAGTTACTGCCGGAGCAATGCGAGGTGTTGCACAAAGAGCGGGCGAAGTATGCGCGCAAAGTGAAGACGACGAGCATGTCATTCACAGTCTCTGTTCCTCCCGAATCTTGAAGAAGACGAGCGCGTAGCCACGCGGGAGTGGCGGATTAGGGGGGGGCTCGTAAGAACCAATGACACGTCGCGGCGGTGATCAAGCACATGTTGTCGAAACTCGGTCTCATCAGCCTTCTCCTGAACCGCATGTAGGGAGGAACCTGCGCTTGCTTACTCTTCGTTTTTCTCACTGTCATACGGGCAATGTTCGGACAACCCTACGGGTCCTCCGGATGCGAGCGCGAAAACCACACACAACAGCGTGACACAATCCGACGGCAAGAACATTATAGAGCGTCAGGGGTCCGAAGTTGGATCTACCGCTTGCAGCGAGTAGACTGGTCACCGCCAAGTGCCAGGCAGGTGAATTGCGTGATGACCCCAGCGTTTGCGGGGTGACCGACAAGAGGTGAACCAAAACAGCTCGCCCCACGGCAAATGCCATGACAGCCTCTCCCGCTCTCCTCCTTCCCGCGACCCTTCGACGATGAGAAGAAGCAGCACGAGGAGGGGGGAGAGGTGGCGACTAGGAAGCAACTCCTGGAAGGTCTTCGTTCTAAGTGCGAAAAACTAGAGAATATCAAACCAGACAATCAAGCTATGTACCTGGATTGAGCCAGATGAAGCCACAGATCCAACGAACAACGAGGATCAAACTGGACCGGACCATGAGGGATTGGGCAGTATCAGGCCGGCTTGTTCGACCACGATGCTACCAGCACAGATGCGAAATTGAACCCCGTGCACGAGTTGCAACCCAGGGAGGAGCTTCCACGGGGTACCCCGCTACCGCCGCCCTACGGATCCAACACATCGGCTGGCAATATGCTAAACGCAGCCGAAATGAGCAGACAGCTTACAGTGGGGTGTTTTTGCCATGGGCGGGCTCACCCCATATGCGCTTGCCCAATTGCCCCCCCCCCCACCCCCACCCACCCACCCACCCACCCACCCACACACACACACACACACACACACACACACACCGCGAAACAACACACTGAGCCTGGCACCGCCTGCTTGCTTGCTTCCGTGGCTGCGAGTTGTGCTCAATTCGGATGGCCCGCAAGGCTTCCAAACCCAAAGCCCGGTCAACTTGCCAGCTCAGACACGGACCACGCCTCGTCCTCCTCGTACTCCTCCTTCTGCTCCTTCTCTTCCTCCTGGTCCCTCCCACGTCTCCCCCTTCCTCTCCTTCTTTCTCCTCCCTCACGCCTCCCGTGTCTATCTCCCCAATCACCTCATCCCCTGTCTTCGGTTCATCTTCCCCATCCTCGGAAACTCGTCCGCGAACAAGGCCTGGGTTTGTGTTTGCGGAGGGGGGTGGCTGTGGCTTGCGGAGTGGCGCTTCCGCATGGATTGTGGGAGAGTGCCCTGTCTAAAGAAGCTGGGGCACAAACGTGCCTGGGCTAAATGGAACACGTATCCAGCCCTGGCCCAGCTCGACTACCCACATCATGCGTACCGCACTTCCTCGTAGGGGGCGGCCTGGACTTGTCGGCCTGGCCTTGCGGTGCTGGCCAACTCCGTCGCGGGAGGAACACCACACCTCCTGCTCGATCCGGGCCTGCTGAAAGCATCTGTGCCTAAGCACACGAACGCCGCTCCCATAGGCCAACCACTCAGCCGATTCTCCCCCTTCGAGCCCCAGTCCTCCCAACTCCCCCACTTCTCGACGACGGCGTCCCACCGTTCCCCCTGGCCTTTGGCCATCGTGTGCCGTGCAGGATGGGCTGGAGTGAATGAGGTCGGAGGATCGCGGCGCATCGCCGATGCATCGGTGCTGCACGTCGGCGATCGCGCTGCATTGCTGATGCATCGGCGATGCGGCTCGAATCCTCCGATCCTATCTACTTGGATCACGTTTGGGCGCCTGGAGACTCAGACCCCTGGCCTCGTGATTCGTTCGCAGAGTACGCCCCGGAGGTCTCGACCCCTTCCCAGGAGTCCCTCTATCCGTCTTTGTCTCCTGAGTTTTCATTTCCCCCCCG